TCTTCCTCCATCCCTTCTCCTGCTGCTCGTCCCACCAGCCCCTGTGGGTCATGTAGTGCCGGAGGCGGGAGATGGGATGATCCTGTTTATCCCAATAATTCACCTCGTCCACGGAGCGATAGGCAGAGCTGTCGTCGCTCGTGCTGTGGTGCCCAATCCTGGAAAAACGGGAATTCCCGGGATTTTGGGGGGTGGAGAAGGGGGAAGGGAGTCCAAGGGGTTTGGGGGAAGGAGCTGTGGGAGTTTGGGAAGGATTTTTGGGATTTTGGAAATGGATTCGTGGGATTTTGGGGAGGAATCAGTGGGATTTTGGGGATGAATTCCTGGGATTTTTGGGAAGGGATTTGTGGGATTTGGGGGATGAATTTCTGGGATTTTTGGGGAGAGATTCTTGGGATTTTGGGGAGGAAACTGTGAGATTTTTGGGAATGGATTCTTGGGATTCTTGGGATTTGGGGGAGGAACCGCCAGGATTTTAAGGAGAGATCAGTGGGATTTTGGGAATGGATTCTTGGATTTTGGGGAGGAAGCTGTGGGATTTTGGGGAGGAACCGCCAGGATTTTAAGGAAGGATCTGTGGGATTTTGGGAATGGATTCTTGGGAGTTTGGGGAGGGATTTGGGGAATTTGGGGAGGGATTCTTGGGATTTGGGGGAGAAATCGCCAGGATTTTAAGGAAGGATCTGCGGGATTTTGGGGATGGATTCCTGGGATTTGGGGGAGGGATTCTTGGGATTTTGAGGAGTAAACCCCAGGATTTTGGGAAGGGAAATCCATGGGGTTTTGGGGCAGCATCTCTGGGATTTTGGGGCAGGAGATCCCTGGGATTCAGGAGAGGAACTCTGAGGATTTGGAAACAGGAGATCCCCGGGATTTTGGGGATGGGTTCTTGGGATCTTGGGGCAGGAGATCCCAGGGATTTTGGGAATAGATTCCTGGCACTTGGGGGGCTGGATCCCTGGGATTTTGGGGGCTGGATTCCTGGGATTTTGGGGATGAATTCCAGGGATTTTGCTGAGTGAGACCCCCCCAGACTCACGGAGAATCCAAGGGGAAAGGGGGGGGTTTTTTGGGGAAAAGGAGGAAAGAGCCGGGTTTTTTTTGGAAGTGGGGAGGTCCAGCATTCCCAGTGGGCATTCCCAATCCCGTAATTCCCAGGAATCTCCTCACCTGTAGGTCATGGCCTCAATGAGGAAGGGCTGGTTCTCAGGCCCCACTCGGATTTAGGGGAGGGAACTCTGGGATTTGGGGGTGGAGAATCCCCAGGATTTTGGGGCAGGATTCCTGGCATTTGAGGGGCTGGATTCCTGGGATTTTGGGGGATGAATTCCTGGGATTTTGGGGGATGAATTCCTGGGATTTTTGGGAATGGATCCCTGGGATTTTGGGGCAGCATCTCTGGGATTTTGGGGCAGGAGATCCCTGGGATTTAGGAGAGGAACTCTGAGGATTTGGAGACAGGAGATTCCTGGGATTTTGGGGCAGGATCCCTGAGATTTTGGGGGCAGGATCCCTGAGATTTTGGGGCAGGATCCTTGGGGATTTGGTGCTGAATTCCTGGGATTTTGGGGCTGAATTCCAGGGATTTTGGGCCTGAGACCCCCAGACTTAAAGAGACGACTCCTTGACGCTCCAAGAGGAAATGGGGGCATTTTTTAGGGAATGAGAGGAAAGAGCTGGGGTTTTTTTGGAACTGGGGAGTCCCAGCATTCCCGGCGGGCATTCCCAATCCCGGAATTCCCAGGAATCCCCTCACCTGTAGGTCATGGCCTCGATGAGGAAGGGCTGGTTCTCGGCCACCGCCCGGCGCCGAGCCTCGCGCGTGGCGTTGAACACGGCGAACACGTCGTTCCCGTCCACCCGGATGGAGAGCAGCCCGTAGCCGGGGCCCCTGGCAGCTGGAGCACATCCCAAAAAAACCCCAGGGATCGTGCCCCAAAATCTCAGGAATTCAGCCCCAAAATCCCAGGAACTCAGCCCCAAAATCCCAGGAACTCAGCCCCAAAAACCCAAGAAACTCCTGTCTCCAAATCCTGAGATTTCCTCTCCTAAATCCCAAAGGTTTCCCTTCCCAAAATCCTGGGCTTTACTCCCCAAAATCTCAGGAATCCTGACCCAAAATCCCAGGGATCGTGCCCCAAAATCCCAGGAACTCAGCCCCCAAAATCCCAGGAACCCAATCCCAAAAACTCAGGAAGATCCCTCCCCTCAGTCCCATGGATTCTGCCCCTCAAAAGCCTGGGTTCCTCTCCTAAATCCCAGGAATCCTGCCCCAAAATCCCAGGAATTCAGCACCAAAATCCCAGGAATTCAACCCCAAAATCCCAAGAATCTCCCGTCTCCAAATCTTGAGAATTCCTCTCCTAAATCCCAGGGATCTCCTGTCCCCAACTCCCAAAGATTTCCCTCCCCAAAATCCCAGAGATGCTGCCCCAAAACCCCAAGGATTTCTCTTCCCAAAATCCTGGGGTTTACTCCCCGAAATCCCAGGAATCCTGACCCAAAATCCCAGGAACTCAGCCACAAAATCCCAGGAAGCTCCTGCCCCCAAATCCCAAAGATTTCCCTCCCTGAGGTCCCAGGGCTCCTTCTCCAAATTCTCAGGGTTTCTTTACCCCAACTTCCTAAAAATCTCCTGCCCCAATATCCCAGGAATTCACCCCCAAAATCCCAAGTCTCCTGCCCCAAATTCCCAGGGCTTCTTCCCCTAATTCCTGAGGTTTCTTAGCCCCAACTTCCCAGGTCTTTTTCCCCAAAATCCCAGCGTTTCTTTGCCCCAAACTCCCAGGTCTCCTTCCCCAAACTCCCAGGGCTTCTTCCCCTAATTCCTCAGGTTTCTTAGCCCCAACTTCCCAGGAATCTCCTGCCCCAAAACCCCAGGATTTCATCCCCAAAATCCCAGGAATTCATCCCCAAACCCCCACGATTCCTCTCCGACCCTCCCCAAAACCCGCAGAACTCCCCCCTCAAAAACCCCTTTATCCACCTCCAACTCCCCCCAAATTTCATCCCACTTTCTCCTGCCTCCCCAATCCCAATCCCACTTTCTCCCGTGGCATTCCCGGTGTTTTTTTACCTATCCCATCCCCTCGGTACTGCTCGGCGGTGGGTGTGGAGATGGCGTAGCCGTTGTTGCGGCAGAAGAACACGATGGGGCACTCGAGGGTGGCGGCGAAGTTGAACCCGGCGTGCGCGTCCCCCTCGCTCGCCGCCCCCTCCCCGAAATAACAAACCACGGCCCGGCTCGCGTCCGCTCGCTTGATGGCGTAGGCGGCTCCCACCGCTGCTTCCCGGGGGAAAAAATAGGGAATTCCTGGCTTGGGATGCGGGGAAGGGTCGGGGGAGAAAGGGGAGGGAGAGGGGAGGCGGGAGAGGGGGGGAGGGGGGAAAGGGGAGGGGGGTTTGAGGGGTCCTGGGATTTTTGGGGGACAAGAATTGGTATTTGTGGATCCTTGTGGGTATCCCAGGAAAAGGAGAACGTATGGAAAAGGAGAATCCATGGAAAAGTGCAGATCCGTGGGAAAAGTCATATGGAAAAGGGACTGAGAGGGGAGTGGGAGGTGGGGGGAGAGGGGTGGGGAAGGACGGGAGGGAGGGGGGATTTCGGGGGGTCTTGAGGGGGGTCCTGAGATTTTGGGGGGAGCAAGAAGTGGCACGTGGGATCCATGGAAAAGGGAAATGTCCATGGAAAAGGGAAAATTCATGGAAAAGGGCTCAGGGAGTTTGGGATGTGGAGGGAGAAGGGGCTGGATGGGGCGGGTGGAAGGGGGGACCTGGGGGGGGTTTGGGAGATCTGGGACACAGGACACGGATCAGGGACACAGGACATGGATCAGGGAATGCAGGACACGGATCAGGGACATTCCAAGGGTGTCACCTTGCGGGATCTGGGGAGGTTTGGGGGATCAGGGAATGCAGGACATGGATCA